GGTCAGGGAGGGGCTGGGACAGGCTGGGAGGGGTCAGGGAGGGGCTGGGACAGGCTGGGAGGGACCTGGGACAGGCTGGGAAGGGCCAGGAGGGGCTGGGAAGGGAGGCCTAGTTTATTTTCAGATAAAGGACAGCAAAACTGTGATGACCAACCACTGCTGCTAGCTTCTCCTAAGACATTATCCCCCCTTCTCTTGCAGCATGGTTAACAAAAACAGCACCCTGCGCTGCACGTTCTCTGCCCCTAGCCACAGTGCCACCTTGCTGCAGGGTCTGTCTTTGCTCCGTGCTCAGGGCCAGCTGCTGGACGTGGTCCTCTCCATAAACGAGGAGCGCTTCCAGGTGCACAAGGCAGTCCTCGCTTCCTGCAGCGACTACTTCAGGTGAGGCGAGCTGGGGGTGTGGCTTGCGGATGGGCATTTGGAGGGAGTTGGGGTGGAGATGCTGAAACAGGAAGCGAAAGAGACTCATTCAGGTAGTATGTAAGGGAAACCTGATCTTATGAAGTCATTCTCTTTCTGCCTCGCAGGGCCATGTTCACTGGAGGGATGCGGGAGGCCAGTCAGGACACCATCGAGCTGAAAGGGCTGTCCGCTCGTGGGCTGAAGCACATTATCGACTTTGCGTACAGTGCTGAGGTCACTTTGGACCTGGACTGCATCCAGGACGTGCTGGGAGCGGCCGTCTTCCTGCAGATGGTGCCCGTGGTAGAGCTCTGTGAGGAATTCCTCAAGTCAGCCATGAGTGTGGAGACCTGCTTGAACATAGGCCAGATGGCCACAGCCTTCAGCCTGTCCTCGCTAAAGGAGTCTGTGGACGGCTTCACCTTCCGCCACTTCCTGCAGATCGCCGAGGAGGACGACTTCCTGCATATCCCTGTCGAGCGGCTCGTCTTCTTCCTGCAGAGCAACAAGTTGCGCAACTGCAGTGAGATCGACTTGTTCCGTGCTGCCATCCGCTGGCTGCGGCACGACGAGGCGCGGCGCGCGCAGGCTGGCAGTGTGCTCTGCCACGTGCGCTTCCCGCTCATGCGCTCGCCCGAGCTGGTGGACAGCGTGCAGACGGAGGACATCATGGTGGAGGACGTGCAGTGCCGGCAGTTCCTCCTGGAAGCTTTCAACTACCAGATCCTCCCCTTCCGGCAGCACGACATGCAGTCGCCCCGCACAGCCATCCGCTCTGACGTGGTTTCCCTCGTCGCCTTCGGCGGGACGCCCTACACGGACAACGACCGCGTGGTGAGCAGCAAAGTGCACTACCTCCCCGATGGCACGGCACGCCACTTCCGGGAGCTTGCCGAGATGGAGTCGGCCTGCAGCCATGCCTGCGTTGCCGTGCTTGACAACTTTGTGTACGTGGTGGGCGGCCAGCACCTGCAGTACCGCAGTGGCGAGGGCGCCGTAGATGCCAGCTTCCGCTACGACCCGCACCTCAGCCAGTGGCTGCGCATCCAGCCCATGCAGGAGAGCCGTATTCAGTTCCAGCTTAGCGTGTTGCAGGGAAAGCTCTACGCCACTGGGGGGCGCAATCGCTCCGGCAGCTTGTCCTCTGTGGAGTACTACTGTCCGAAGACGAACGAGTGGACCTATGTGGACCCGCTGAAGCGCAGGATCTGGGGACACGCGGGAGCCACCTGCGAGGACAGGCTGTACATCTCAGGAGGCTATGGGGTCTCCGTCGAGGACAAGAAGACCACACACTGTTACGATCCCAGCACTGACCAGTGGGAGTTCAGGTGCCCTATGAACGAGCCGCGAGTGCTACACGCCATGGTGACAGCTAGAGGCCGTCTCTACGCCCTTGGGGGCCGCATGGACCACGTGGACCGCTGCTTCGACGTTCTGGCCGTGGAGTACTACGTCCCGGATGCGGACCAGTGGACCACTGTAAGCCCGATGCGGGCCGGCCAGTCGGAGGCTGGCTGCTGCCTGCTGGATGGAAAAATCTACGTGGTGGGCGGCTACAACTGGCACCTGAATAATGTCACCAGCATTGTGCAGGTTTACAACGCTGACACAGATGAATGGGAGCGTGATTTGCATTTCCCAGAGTCCTTCGCTGGAATCGCCTGCGTCCCCGTCATACTTCCGCAGAGTGCGACCCAGAGGTGACCTGCGGGCTGAACCTGACACCCGCTGTATCTCTGCAGGGCTCAAATTGACAGCTTTTGCTTCGTTTGACTGAGCCGACATAGAGAGGAAAAAAACAGCTTTAGGCGTTAGGATGATGGAGTTCATCCTCGGCGTGGATGGAGCCTATAATGAAAGACGTGTCTGTTTTTTAAACAAGCAAAGAAATAAATGTTCTGCTTGTACTAGGCAGCATGGTGGGAGAAGTTCTCAGTTAATTCAGTGTTTTGATTAATATTAACCTGGGAATAATGTCCGTTTGAAAGTTTGTGCATTTACTACCAACTTGAGGTTATCCCAGTTAATATGGCCCTGGTTACTCGCATTAAAAATATTACCGTCAGTATTTTATGAGTGACCTCAATGGCTAGATGCTGAACAGAGCGTCTGAGCTCCTTAAATATGTTGGTTAATTTCAATCGTCACGACATCCTGCTAAGTCTCTGGGAGGGGGTCACGCCATCGCCCAGCCTCGTCACGCATCGCTTGCAGGAGGGACGCTGGCTGGACAGTGGGTCGATTCTGGGTCGGCTCATTGGGGATCCGTTCAGTGGCGAAGCGGCCCGTGTCTGCTGCTCCTTTGTCACCAAGCACAAATGTAAGCACGCACCTCCTGGACATTTTCCTAGGTGTTACACTCTGATGGCTGTGTGTCCCCACTTATACACACGTGCAGTGTGGTTTTTTTCCTTATACCCACAGTGGGGGCGTGTTTACACCCCTTCACAAGTGCACTAAGTAATGATGGACACAGCTGTGTTTGTGATTCTAGCAGCTATTGACTGAACACAGAGAGCAACCCCAAACTCTGCTGTTAAAGGTGGTTTTCCCCCATGAAATTCCATAATTTATTCTCCACATACTTTTAAGATCTCTCTAAGAAAGGTTGCGGTTACCTGGGGTAGATGTGCAGAGAGATGCAGGCACTGGTCCGATACACACATGTCACACAGTGTTTCATGGTTAGACCTCCCAGTGTAAAGCTGCTGAAGGTTACCGCTCACTGTATATCGTCAGTGGTGTATGTGTGTGTAAGTGACAGCTACTTCTGCACCGACACACAAACATGCATAGTTACAGGTGAGGGATGAGTTCTTTTTTAATTAGTGAAAGGTTGTAAGCACATGTACACAGGCAGTGTGGTGGCTCATGCGGAGTCCCGCCTTGGATAATCAGCAGCACACTGGATGGATAGATGGATGATGTGCACACACTGTACAGTGAGGTCATTCCAACATCCAGTTATCATGCTTCCGTTTCCATCCCACAAACACGCCTCCAGCACAGCTGCTCATGTTGATGCCGACTGGCTTTGTTTGTGAAATAAACTGTCAAAAATGGCAACGCTGAGGAAATGCTGATCCTTGGACATTGCTCGTTATGTCGGCTTTAAAAATAGTAATGAAGCTTCATTAGCCTGTCGGTAGCATTTGTGAGTTTAAACGATATCAAAGCGATGCTCAGCAGTTTGTCTGGAAGCATTGCTGTCGTTGACTTGGCAAGTTAAACTCTGTTGCTTCCAGCAGGTGCTATATGTACTGATAAAATTAGACCAGCCTGTGTTAAAATTGCACAGAAAATGGGCGTAGGTGCAAATATTTGATTGATGGGTAGTTTCAACATTAACGCTGTAGTGTAATAGGTCATGAACCCTCCATTTGCAGTCCTATAGTGTAATAGGTCAT